CCTCCTTGCCTCAGATCAAAATTATCACTAAGTTCTAGTGATTTTTACCCCCTCAATGTTTCTCTAATTCATTCTTTCCTCTTTAACTCCTGTTAAAGAGTAAACCTTAGTTCACTCCCTTACAATTCCTTTCCTAAAACATCCCAGTAGACTTCTCCCTTTTCACTGTGTCCCTTTTAAGTGCATTCTCTACACTTCCAGCACTAATTTTCCCAAGAATAAATATAATCATGTCACTTCCTTACTTAAAACTATCCAGTGACTACCCACTGCCTTCATAGGAAAATCCAAACTCCGTAGCATAGTATATCAGGTCAACCACCATTTCATACAAAGTCGGCTATCCAGACATACTCATTCCCTGCAGTTTCCCGAAAGTATAATGCTCATTTAAAATATGTACCTGTTCACAGGTCTTCCTTTATCTTTAAGCTCCCTCTAGGTTGGAAGACATGACCCTTCCAATCATGTTTTTACTCATTTGTCACACCATTTTATTGAGACATCTCTTGAAAATTCGGGTTCATGATTTCTGTTTCTATATGCCCAGTATCCCCCACGGTACTTGGTACACGGTAGGCACTGAGTAAACCCATGATAAATGAAAGAATGAACACACATGTGTAATTCTTTAAGCTTATCTTAAGTGTTTTATCAGACTAATGAGACAAGCACTGAACGAAGAATGAAATTGAGTTTGGCATTTGTGATGCAGCTGTAGCCCTCTAAGCAAAGCTTTGATCTTGAGCTTCCTTTCTAATTCTAGCATTCTATGATTCAACTCTATTAAAAGTCCATTGATACTTTTGCCAGCACCAGCTGCCTTAAAAGCAGGACCACCAGCTGGGCGTGGTGGCTCATGCCTATAATCCCAGCACTTTGGGAGGCCAAGGCAGGTGGATCACGAGGTCAGAAATTCGAGACCAGCCTGGCCAACATGGTGAAACTCTGTCTCTAATAAAAATACAAAACTGAGCTGAGCCAACATGGTGGCGGGTGGCTGTAATCCCAGCTACTTGGGAGGCTGAGGCAGGAGAATTACTTAAAACTGGAAGGCAGAGGTTACAGTGAGCTGAGGTCGCGCCACGGCACTCCTGCCTGGGCAACAAGAGCAAAACTCCATCTCAAAAAAAAAAAAAAAGCAGGACCACCAGAAAATATAATTCTACAATGTTGGGACTTGGATCAAATGGTATCAGATAGCAGGCATACACTGGCAGCACTCTGTGCCAATGTCCAAATCTATTAAGTTTATTTACTAACTAGTCTTATTATCTGTTTCATGTTGGGATTTCTTTAGGGTGTGGTAAAATTGGACAGATGGGTTGAAAGTCTTCCTTCAGGCATAATACACATAGGATTGGGCAGATGGGCTCCAATAACCAACCTTTAGGCCTGGAACACATGGATGAAGCAAGGAGAAAAAGAATACACCACTATCTAGTGAGGGGTAAAAAACAGAATTGGGAATGGAGAAATTTTTTAATGAGACCTGAAATATATAAAGTAAAACTGGAAAGTGGCACAGTGTCACTTACCTTCAAAGGTACAAATTTTTCAGGCAGCAAGCTACATATTGTAGTAATAAGTGACCTTAGAAATCCAAATATAACTTACCGAAAAAAGAGATCAATCTTTGCAATAGAAGATATCAACTGGAAATAAGTTTTGTAGTAACAAGAACAGGGTTCAATGTTATTTAATATTTCTCAATTAATTAATGAGGATTTTACACAATGTTAAACAAATGGGCAAATGATAGTAATCTGTGAGGAAAAGACCAGACTTCAAGAGAATATCTCCAGTGTAGAAAGATGAACTGAAATAATTAAATGAAGAGATGGGTAAACAGTATTGCCATTAGATTCCCTCAAAACCCAAGAGAAAACAAAATAAGCCCAACACAACTGTACAATGTAGAGATACGTATTTGTGGCAGCACAAATAAAAAGAGCAGGAATCAGAGTCAACAATGTAGTTGGCAGGACTAACAGCATGACCTGGCTGGATAAAGAAGTCAGTTTAATATTTGGCTTTATTAACAGAAGAATCATATCTGTTCTGATAGCTGGAAGCTGTGCTGGAGAGCTTTTGTTGACACCTCCATTTCCAAGCTCTGTGCTTCTCCACCCTACCCAGTGCCCCAGGATGTGGCTGACCTTTGTGTACTGCATCAAGTTCCCCTTTACTCGGACTTCCAGTTGGATGTGGCCAAATGGTAGCACAAGCAGAAGACAGGAGGGAAGCAAAAGAATGAGATAAGACTGTTTATTCCTGGAGTTCCTTCCTTGTACTGGGTGAATCCCAACCATACAAAGGCCATGCCTCTGGGGTGATCTGACAACCATCTCTAAACCTTTCTCTTTATCTCTGGGTTCCTGTAACATTCTTTCCTCAGTCCTTTATGGCAAGAGGTAGTAAGGATAAGTGGCTTTACTAGCCCTAGGGTATACCTCATCCCATTTGGATCTTTGTAAATCATTCCTTTATTTAAATCCCTTCAAACTGTCTAATGCTTATGACATATATTTTCTGTGGGCACCCTGGCTGATAAACATTTATTGAACACCTACCATATACCAAGCATTTCCTGTGAGCTGTTATGTTTAATATCTCTCTGAGGAAGGTTCTACTGTTATCCTACATATGTTGCAGATGAAGAAATGAAGGCGCCCAGAGGTTGACTTGCTGAAGGTCAAACAGCCAATAGGTAGCCAAGGTGGATTTGGTCCCTCCACCATCTGACTTAGAGCCCATTCTGTTAACTGCTATACTCGTTTCATTCTGTTCAGAATAGGCAGATCCCACCTGGGAATAGTTCTTTCTCCCTGGCTTTCAGAGGAATTAAACAAAACAAAGTTGTGTTTAGAGGCAATGCCAGCAAGAAAGAGGGAATCTCATAATAATCTATAGGAAATGGGGTGTACAAATTTGTAAAATTTTTCTGAAAAGCAATTTGGCAGCATGTATTAAAAACCTTTAAAAAATGTTCTTATCCTTAGGCCCATTAATTTCATGTTTAAAAGCCCATCCTAAGGAAACGAAGATATGAATAATGATTTAATTATTGAATGTTCATTGCAGAGTGAGTTACAAGGACAAAAATCTGAAATATCTTAGATGTTCAACAAGAGAAAAATGGCTAAATTATTATACATGCATGCATATCTATATATTCCCATATATTATATAACGTTGAAATCATTAAAGTTGGGCCTTTGAAATACAATGAGTTGCAGAAATTCTTACATTGTTTATATAGGATCAAAAAAAGTCAAAGTATATGCCCTACATTTTGAAATATATGCGCGTGTGTGTGTGTGTGTATGTGTAAGAAAATAAATGATTTTGAGATAAAACACCAAAATATTAATTGTGGTTATATTTGCACTTGGAAATATTTGCACTCGGAAACTTTGAGTGATCACTTCATTTCCACCATATAATTCTCTTTGTTTTCCTGTATTTGCAGTTTTGTACCATACACTAAAAAAAAATACTTAAAACAGCAATAACTATGAACCATGGTTATACTGTAAGACCTAAAACAGAAAAGATTCAAGAAGACGTGAATGAAGTGCTACAGAATTAAAAGGAGTATGATACTTGTCCTGAATGGCTCAAGAGGAAGAGCCTGAACCTATGGAAATTGGAGGAAGATAGACTTTAGCTTAATGGAACAAAAAGAATTCTAATAGGATTTTAAATAGTGGGAACAGGTTGCCTTGAAAGGTTTTGATTTTTTTGTCACTGGAAGTATTTAAGAAAAGGATTGACCATATTTTTTCAGAAATCTTTGTACAGTGACTTAACCTTTGTTCAGGTAATTAGATCTAGAATTTTCTCCCAACAGAGAATCTAAAATTTTCATGCTACCTAACAACGATATCTAAATATTTCCTTACCACTAGAGATATATTTCTTTGGAATATGATATGATTTTTTTCTGGGAATTCTCTTTTAATCTTCTTCCTGGGGCAAAGTAGAATGCCTTACTAAAGTTCTAAAGTAGTTCCTTTGGAGACAGGGTACATGTCTTTTCAGCATTTATACCCATCGCTTACAACAGTTCTAAGTATATAGTCTACCCATAACATTTCAGGTTTTTTTAATTAAGTAAGCCAAATCTGGTTAATACACTACCCCAGATCCATTCCATTCTGCCTGTCCTGGGGCCCCAGTAACATGATCTGCTTCCCAGCAAGAGGAGCCTCATCTCCTGGCACCTACTGATTCTCTGGTCCTTCCACTAGCTACCCAGGGAGCCATAAAAATAACAAAGTCAGAGGAGTTAATGGTGTGGAATGGGCCAGGTGAGATGCTTGCCTTCTCCTCACTACCTCCCCCATATTGTCCCAAGATATGGAGGTTCTAATAAGGCTTCTCTCAAGATATCCCACATAACCAAGCAAACCAAGCATGCTTCTTCAAGAAGCTATGACTACCTTGTATTTGCTTTCCCTCACTTTCCTCCTCACTTTTCTTTTTCCTTCATTCTCACGTCTTTGGGATTATTAGTCCCAGTAAAGTGCTAGCACATAGCTTTGCTTTCAAGTATATTTTCTCAGGAAATTGTTAAGACAGCAATTGAAATTTTATTGTGAGTTAGTTGATCAGATGATATCAAATCCATCCTATGATATCTTCTGAAAGAGTGAGTTAAAGTTCTGACACAAAGAAAACCTACTGGAAGACTTGATCTGTAGCCTGGAGGAGGTAAAAAAAAAAAAAAAAAAAAAAAAAATAGCCCTGGAATGAGCAGCAGCAGGCGGACCAGAAACAGCCTGATAGTGCATGGGCATGAGAGAATGACCAATACAAGCCACCTGTGACCACGTGTAAAGCTTGCCAAAGAGTAACTTTACTAGTACACTCACTACTACCTTAACCCTCCCCAGACTCTGTTAAGCAACCTGCTTGATGATACCATTTGTTTCCCAGAGCCCCTTCTCACAGAGTATAATTCCCAACATGCTTGCAATCCTTGTGCCTTTACTCACCAACTTTCAGCTCCCCTCCTGCAATGACCATGCATGCCACACTCAGAACATTGCTTCTGTCCACAGGGAAGTCTAAGGTACCCATCACATACAGCCCTTTGAAGAATGGAAGATCTGTATCCACGAGGACAGTTCTGTCTGTGGAAGAAAAAGAAATTGCTCAGATATGTCACAAAAACAAGAATTACGTCTTTTATTCTAGGATTCTCCCAGCAGTTTGGGAGCTGCATACAGTGTTATCTAAACCAGAACAGGTATAGCAACTGGAAGAATGAATAGTCTGCCAAAGGCTAGGCCTTACTGAACAGGAAAATCAGTTCTGATTGATAAATGCTACCATTGCTTAACACACCACATTCATGGACAAAATGCACTACTTATGCACCAAACAGCAGCCTTAAGTCTACTGCAGTGAAAACACACAGATCGAATGAGCTCCCTACCCTTTGTTCCTGTATCTTCACTTTTGGTTCTAGCTTCAGGGATATACAGAGCAGTAGACATGACATTGGCCTCTGAAGGCAGATTACTTGGATATGAATACCAATTCTGCTACTTACTAGCTGTCTAGGCAAATAACTTTATCGCTCTGTGCCTCAGTTTTCTCATCTGTGGAATGGGAATAATACCAAAAATAACTGTTTTGTTCATAGGACTTTTGTGAGGGTTAAATGAGTTAATAGATTGAAAATGCTTATACAATATTAGTAAGCTGTATCTAATTCCCTAAGTCCCATTGTGTGAGGCAAAGTACATGGTGCATGCTTAATAAACACTTGATGTTATTATTTTTACTGTTGTCCCTTAGCTTGCCATGCTTATAGAGCTTACTGGAAAATTTAAAATCATTATGTTTTATTTCCCCTTTCATAAAAGCAGTCTTCATATAACTTCAGAAGAAATAATCATAGCTTTTGCCTGAGATTTACTATAGAGTAACATATAAATACAACATTTTCATTTAAAACAGTAAGTATTTCATGTATGCCAAAGCATTGTGTTACTTTTTGAAATTTAGCAGTAATTCAACACTAATTAATGACATCAAATAAAGATTTTCGCTTAAATTTCTAGTGCCATAATCACCAACACATGTAAAGATTTATAAGGAATTCTTTTGTTAATATAATCTCATCTCTCATTCTAGGAAACAGTGCACTTGCTCTTCTTAAGGACATGCCCAAGCAAATTAACTTGTCATGAGTTGTCTTTCCTAGCCCCTGCCTGCTTCCTGCATTATAAGAATGGCCATGCCCTCCTGTGGCAGAGACTATAGAGTTGTAAACCAACCATTTCTCTTGTTTTCCTAAGTTCACAGACTACGGTTTCCACCTCCTTTGCAGGTAGATGAAGTCATGTAACTGAGTTGTAGCCAATAAAATGTGGGAAGAATTAAAGTATGACATCTCTAGGCCTGGTCCATAAATTCTGTATGCCTTTTCCCTCCCCTTTTCTCTCGGTTAGATGTAGAGCAGTGGTTCTCAAAGTATGGTCCTATCCCATCAGGATGCAAAGCAAGCATTAGCTCTGCTAGCAAGATATTCTCTCTTCTCGCTGGCTCCACCACTCTCCCTAGGGAAACAACCTCTCTCTTTTACACTTCAGTGACACACTGTACATACATCTATCAGAGTACTGAGACACATTATTCAAATTATATACATATACTATTGTATGTGAGGAAGTAACTGTCACTGGGCTGGTCCTCGGTGTGATTATGACTTCCTCTCCCACTCTGACTTCCTTAAGTGAAGAGATCATTCTTTTTCTTTTTAAATTCCTAGTGTTTTTGCAATACTGAAGATAAAGACACTAAATAAATGTCGTCCAGATCTGTTGAGTTTAATCCCCTACATACCTTAAATTCAAGAGCTCATTGGTGACTGATACAAAATGAATGATCAAGCTAAACAGATAAAAATAAATATATATCTTACTCTCATCTCTGGCACTTTTCAGAATATTCAAATAAAAGAGTGAAGTACCTAGAGAATGTTCTAGGTTTAGCATACATTTTATGGGTTCATAAGTTTAAGAATTATTTGAAGCAAAACTTGTAAAAAACAAGAGGGCTTTGCCTCTAATTTATTTACTTATTTATTTAATTTTCATCTTTCATTTTAAATTCAGGGATGCATGAGCAGGATGTGCAGGTTTGTTAACACAGGTAAACTTGTGCCAGGGTGACCTGCTGCACAGATCATGCCATCACTCAGGTATTAAGCCCAGAACCAATTAGCTATTCTTCCTGATCCTCTTCCTCCTCCCACCCCCTGCCCTCTGACAGGCCCCAGTGTGTGCTGTTCCCTGCCTTGTGTCCATGTGTTCTCATCACTTAGCTCCCACTTACAAGCAAGAACATGTGGTATTTGGTTTTCTGTTCCTGTGTTAGGTTACTAAGGATAATGGCCTCCAGCTCCATCCATATCCCTGCAAAGGACATTATCTCATTCCTTTTTATGGCTGCATAGTATTCCATTATATCCATGTACCACATTTTCTGTATCCAGTCTATCATTGATGGGCATTTAAGTTGATTCCATGTCTTTGCTATTGTGAATAGTGCTGCAATGAACATATGTGTGTATGTGTCTTTAAAACAGAATGATTTCTATTCCTTTGGGTATATACCCAGTAATGGGATGCTGGGTCGAATGGTATTTCTGCCTCTGAGTCTTTGAGGAATCGCCACACTATCTTCCACAATGATTGAACTAATTTACACTCCCACCAACAGTATAAAAGCATTCTTTTTGCTCTACAACCTTACCAGCATCTGTTTTTTGATTTTTTAATAATAGCCATTCTGACTGGTATGAGATGATATCTCATTATGGTTTTGATTTGCATTTCTCTAATGATCAATGATGTTAAGCTTTTTTTCATATGTCTGTTGGCTGCATGTATGTCTTCTTTTGAGAGGTATCTGTTCATGTTCTTTGCCCACTTTTTAATGGGGTTGTTTTTTTCTTGTAAATTTAAGATCCTTATAGATGTTGGATATTAGACATTTGTCAGATGCATAGATTGCAAAATTTTTCTCTCATTCTGTAGCTTGATTACCCTGATGATAGTTTCTTTTGCTGTGCAGAAGCTCTTTAGTTTAATTATATCCCATTTGTCAATTTTTGCTTTTGTTGCAATTGCTTTTGGCATCTTATCATGTAATCTTCGCCTGTGCCTATGTCCTGAATGGTATTGCCTAGGTTTTCTTCCAGGGTTTTTATAGTTGTAGGCTTTACATTTAAGTCTTTATTCCATCTTGAGTTGATTTTTGTATATAGTTTAAGAAAGGGGCCTAGTTTCCATTTTTTTGCATATGGCTAGCCAATTCTCCCAGCATCATTTATTAAACAGGAAATTCTTTCCCCACTACTTGTTTTCTGAGGTTTGTCAAAGATGAGATGGTTGTAGGCGTGCAGTCTTGTTTCTGCCTTCTTTTTCTGTTCCATTGGTCTATGTGTCTGTTTTGTACCAGTACCATGCTGTTTTGTTATGCTATTTGGCTACTGTAGCCCTGCAGTGTAGTTTAAAGTTGGGTCATGTGATGCCTCTAGCTTTTCTCTTTTTGCTTAGGATTGCCTTGGCTATTCGGACTTTTGTTTGGTTTTATATGAATTTTGAAATAGTTTTTACTAATTCTGTGAAAAATCTTAATGGTAGTTTAAGGGGACTAGCAATGAATCTATAAATTGCTTTAGACAGTATGGCCATCTTCATGATATTGATTCTTCCTATCTATGAGCATGGAATATTTTTTCATTTATTTGTGTCATCTCTGATTTCTTTGAGCAGTGGTTTGTAGTTCTCCTTGAAGAGGTCCTTCACTTTCCTTGTTAGTTGTATTCACAGATATTTTATTCTTCTTGTGGCAGTTGTGAATGGGAGTTCATTTGTGATTTGGCTCTTGGCATGTCTATTGTTACTGTATAGAAATGCTAGTGATTTTTGCACATTGATTTTGTATCCTGAGACTTTGCTGAAGTTGCTTATCAGTTTAAGAAGCTTTTGGGCTGAGACAATAGGGTTTTCAAGCTATAGGATCATGTCATCTGCAAACAAAGATAGTTTGACTTCCTCTCCTCCTATTTAAATATGCTTTATTTCCATCTCTTGCCTAATTGACCTGGCCAGAACTTCCAATACTACCTTGAATAGGAGTGGTGAGAGAGAGCATCCTTGTCTTGTGACAGTTTTCAAGGGGAGTGCCTCTGGCTTTTGCCCATTCAGTAGAATATTGGCTATAAGTCTGTCACATATGCCTTTTATTATTTTGAGGTATATTTCTTCAATACTTAATTTATTGAGTTTTTAATTTGAATGTATGTTGAATTTATCAAAGGGCTTTTCTGCATCTATTGAGATAATCATGTGGTTTTGGTCTTTAGTTCTGTTTGTGTAACGAATCACATTTACTGATTTGCATATATTAAACCAACCTTGCATTCCAGGCACGAAGCCTACTTGATCATGCTGGATAAGCTTTTTGATGCGCTGCTGGATTCAGTTTGCCAGCATTTTGTTGAGAATTTTTGAATTGTTGTTCATCAATAATATTGGCCTGAATTTTTCTTTTTGTCATATCTCTGCCAGGTTTTGGTATCAGGATGATGCTGACCTCATGGAATGAGATAGGAAGGAGTCCTTCCTTTTTAATTCTTTGGAATAGTTTCAGTAGAAATAGTACCAGCTCTTCCTCATAACTCTAGTAGAATTCAACTGTGAATCCACCTGGTCCTGGGATTTCTTTGGATGATAGGCTATTTATTACTGCCTCATTTTCAGAATTCATTATTAATCTATTCAGGGATTCAATTTCTTCCTGGTTCAGTCTTGGGAGGGTGCATGTGTCCAGGAATTTATCCATTTCTTCTAAATTTTCTGCTTTATGTGCAAGAGGTGTTTATAATATTCCCTGAGGGTTGTTTGTGTTTCTCTGGGGTCAGTGGTAATATCCCCCTTGTTGTTTCTGATTGTGTTTATTTCAATCTTCTCTCTTTTCTTCTTTATTAATCTAGCCAGCAGTCTATTTCATTAGTTTAAAAACAAACAAACAAAAAAAAAACAGCTCCTAGATTTGTTGATTTTTTGAAGGGTTTTCATGTCTCTATGTCCTTCAGTTCAGCTCAGATCTTGGT